TATACATATACATACACATACCTATACATATACATATACATATACATATACATATACCTATACATATCCATATACATACATATATACATAACCTTATATATATACATATACATATATGCTTCCAAAACAACAAAGCACCAACCACCTGTGTGACCCAATATCACTCGTACCTGTGCCATGGGCGCGGGGTCTGGCGACAAGAACAGGTGCTTGATGTCTTGGTAGAACATTCGGTCCTCAACTTGCACCTTGGAATCCTGTACGTCGAAGGACAGCTTGATCAGACCCTCCTGTTCACCTGTAGTGTTTGACAGCATGAGTAGGGTGATGGAGGGTTAGCATACACCGTATGGGTGAGATGCTGGACGTATCAACGTATACGTGGATGGTATGTAGTTGTGTAATGCATGCACAAGTGATATATAGTCATGTAGTACGCTGCTAGTACTACAACACATGTGCACATGAATTGCACATAGGTGTGTAGTGCATGTACATGTGATATATAGTCATGTAGTACGCTGTTAGTACTACAACACATGTACACATGGATTATACATAGATGTGTAGTGCATATGTACATGTGATATATAATCATATAGTACGCTGTTACTACTACAACACATGTACACATGGATTGTACATAAGTGTGTAGAGCATGTACATGTGGTATATAGTCATATAGTGCGCTGTTACTACTACAACACATGCACATCCTTTGAAAATTATACCCAGCCACACAGTTGTCTATCCCTATTGGCAGGATAAATCAAACCTACCTTTTAGGATGAATATAATAACTGAATCATACATGCACATACTATAAAAATGTACTCCACTTTTGGGATGAATATAATTATTAGCTCATAAATACACATACTTCAATAAACGTACCCACCTTTTAAACCGAATATAATATTTGGCTCATACATAAACATATTTCCGTAAACGTACCCCCCTTATAGGATGGATATATTAATTAGCTCGTACATACACATAATTCGGTAAACGTACCCACCTTTTAAGATGAATACAATAGTTAGCTCATATATACACATACTTTGATATATGTACCCACCTTTTAAGATGAATACAATATTAGCTCATACATACACATACATTAATACATGTACCCACCTTTTTAAGATTAATTAGCTCATATATACGCATACTTTAATATATGTACACACCTTTTAAGATTAATTAGCTCATATATATATATACATACTTTAATATATGTACCCACTTTTTAAGATTAATTAGCTCATACATACACATACTTTAATATATGTACCCATCTTTTAAGATTAATTAGCTCATATATACACAAACTTAAAATATGTGTACCCACCTTTTAAGATTAATTAGCTCATATATGCACATACTTTAATATGTGTACCCACCTTCTAAGATGAATATAATAATTAGCTCATATATACACATACTTTAATATGTGTACCCACCTTTTAAGATGAATACAATAATTAGCTCATACATACACATACTTTAATATGTGCACCCACCTTTTTAAGATTATTTAGCTCATACATACACATTCTTTGTACCCGCCCTTTGAGAAGAATACAATAATTAGCTCATGTATACACATACTTTAACATGTGTACCCACCTTTTAAGATGAATACAATAATTAGCTCATACATACACATACTTTAATGTATGTACCCACCTTTTAAGATCAATACAATAATTAGATCATATATACACATACTTTAATATATGTACGCACCTTTTAAGATTAATTAGCTCATATATACACATACTTTAATATATGTACTAACCTTTTAAGATGTCTGCCAGGATTGGGGCGACTTTATCGCCGTTGTCCTGAAAGTCCGACAGCGGTTTATTTCGGAGGAACTTTACTGACGCCAGTGGGTGCTATATGAGATAAGCCCAAGACAAGTAAAGGAATATGAGATAAACCCAAGACAAGTAAAGTGCTACGAGGAGACGCTTTAGAATGCTTCATGAATCGGATGCATGCAAGTACTAGATATATCACCTACTCCAAAAATAGACACTCCTCACTGATGGAATTAGGAACAGCATCGAATTAAAAAGATGTTTTTTTATGTGCTTGTGATCTACACTCATGTATACGTAAAAACGTTGGAGGCTCACTTGTTGTAAGACATAAATGAACTTTCTCGTCCGAACACCACGATACAGCACACACATATATATCTATACATATAAGAGAGCACACGCACATACACACACACGCACGCACGTGCATATATGAGAGCGCATGCAGATATATATATATATGTGTGTGTGTGTGTGTGTGTGTGTGTGTGTATATATATAT